TCTTCGTCGCCAGGTCCATTGTTAAGATGGGTAAAAAGCGGCTCAGTCTGCCCAAGGTGGCGATATCAGCTGGAGAATTTGTGTGGGCGAGGAAGAGCGTGGAACCTTTCCACAAAAAGCATCTTTCATTTCTGTTGCACAAACCCGCATCGTCTCCACTGCGTCCTCCGAGTTTTCTCTCGAGAGACTCCTCCCGTCTTCTACTCTTCCCCCTCCTCCTCTCCCCCCCCGAGCTCCGCTTGTCCCGCGGGATCTACAGCCCGGACCCCTCCATCGACGACATGGAAGAAGCAGCTCTGGTTCCGCCGGAATTATATTCATTCCCGCCTTCAGTTTTATCGAAGACCGGAGTAGACCGTTTTCGTCGCGTAGCCGCTGAAAGGATGAAACGGGGAATTCTCTCTCGCCGAGAATATAGAGAACATCTTCCCCATGGTCGTCGTCGTATAAGGCACCGGGGCTTGACGTGGTTACGAGACGGCGTAGCGTGCTCGTTCGTTTCGCCTTTCATTAACATTGCGCTAGACGACCGCTTTCATTTAAGTCATTTGTTCCAAACTGCTACAAACTCTCCCGTCTGAACCCGAGGACAGCAATGGATGAAGAGGCACTCAGTCGACTCGTCCGACCGTAGAAACTACCGACGAAGACGGGAGACGGAGAGGAGGGGGGGGGGAACGGCGACCGAGGGGAGGTGGAAGAGGCCAAAGAAACGAAAGGATATGTTTCGCGGTTTTTCCTCCGCTTCCCTGTTCGTTTCTTCGTGCGTCGCTTCGCTCGTTCAAAGAGTCGCTCGACCGGCTAGCTAACTCGCTGCTGCTTCTGCTCGTGCTGCTGCGCTTCGAGAGCGAGACAAGGCAAGCAGGCGGGCGAGCAGACGGGCGAGCGGGCGGGCGATCACCGGCCACAGTCGGAAAGAAGGCCAAAAGCTCTCTCGGCTTTGCCATCGCCATACACGCAAGAGATCTTTTCCTTTTCGGCTTGGAGCACAAAGCCAGTCAACGAAGCATTGCGCCAGCCAGTCAGCCATCCCGTGACACAAGAGCTAATTCGAGACATCGTGGGGTCGCGGTTTCTTCAGTCTCGGTCGCAGACATAGTCGCTGCTCCGAACACCCTCGGTGATGGCAACGCATCTCGGGATCCGTTGTCTTCGCCCCGCGGCTGTTTTTGACTTACGTCATAATGGATTCCGACGAGGCATCGAGGAATGCCGGAATTCGTTCTGATTCTTCGTCCTCCGTGATTCCGGTCGGACCGTGATGAACTTATCGGGTCCAATGGAGGATTTCCTCGTCTTAAATCACCTGGTACTCCGAAATTCTCCATGACCGTCATCCTCCATAGGACCCTTATGATCGCGCTATTATCTCGCACTCGGGCTGTCTGGTAAATGGCTCTCCCGACAAGGTGATGGATCTTGGTTTCCTGGGCAATCTCACCGCTTTATTCGTTCGCACAGACAAGAGCTTGCGGAAATGAAGTCAAAAGGAAACAGTCGTAAGGGAGTGAATGCACAAAGCAGCCGCCCAGCACTAGAATCCTTTCGGAAATGAAAGTGAGGTGCACGTCTGCAGTTCAAAACAGGAGTATGTCACCGATGCGTCCCGACGCTCCCCGAGACGGGAGATTGCTGGTTCCCGTCGGAACCGGATCCTGAACCGTGAGTCTCTCAAACGCTTTTCCTGCTTATTTCAAACGCCACACATTTAAAAAGGTGATTGGACGCATATCGTGTCATTTTGAGAACATTCGCAGGTTGGGACCGCCGGAGGACGCGTCGGGGACAAAGCCAATGCTCCCGAGACGATTCGTCTGTGAACAAAGTTTGCCAAACTCTCTCGGAGATTCGGTTTATTTTCCTCAACAGCGAGCAAAACAAACCACCAAAAAATGCGCTGAGAGACGGGTCGGCAGGCAACAACGAGAAGATATCACACATCATATTCCCGCCTTCCCGTCGGGTGGGAGGAAACAGCGAGGTAAAGTGAAACTCCACAAATCTCAGAGCAAACAGCTTACCCGGCTCCTCCAGTCAAAGGAAGGCGGCTAAGCCAAACATCAAGCTGACTCTTTTTTCCCCACATGCCAGACAGCCGGTTCCGCTTTTTTTTCCACCGGCATACAGTGGAGCAATGCCGGGGAGACACGAGGAGGGAAAATCCAAAGGCGACGGCTTCCGTATCTGAGCTCCCACATTGAGATCTCCTTCAGCTTTCGGATGCTGGCAGTCGTCAGGAGACGATATACTCAAAACAGAACTGCCCGAGTTTCTATCTCTGTGATTCTCCACGGAGAGCTGATGGAGAAATTCCCGAGCCGGCTGGCTTGCTCGCGAAAAGGAAACTGAAGACGGAGAAGAATGGCACGAAATCTGTTATCCGAAACATGTTCGTAAAAATATTACATGTCGACTTCGTTCTCCAGAGGATGCTCCTCAGCTTCCTCCCCGGTGTATCGGTTGACACCGGGAGTCCGCCCCTGGGGTTCCCTTCCTCGAAAAGTCACGACATGCCGCTGCTCCCGACCCCCGTAGTCTCTCGGAGTGATGTCTTGCCCCACAACGACGACGTCGACGAAGTTCGGCGTACTCCTCAGCAGAGCCCTCTGGCTCCCACCGTGTGTTGCCGCCATCTTCGTCGTCTGTTCACGTTTCGTGTTGCATTCCGGAGTCGAGTGTAATGCACGAACACATTCTCGCAGAAATATCCCAGCGATTGCAACATAGAAATGGCATTATCATTCCTCCAGCGTCGTCTCTCCCACCCCGAGGTGAGGAAGCGAGGTCCTCGCTGTCGGGGAGCAAGATCAGTCTGTCGCGTCTCCGCTACCTGGATAACTCTTCATGACTCATCCACCTGTCTTTGAGCCTGGGTGGCTGCCGAGTAAGTGGTAGCGGTGGCGAAAGTTGCTTCGCCCCGTTTACAAGAAGGAGGCGCGTCATACACCTCGAATAGACATTTCGGCTCATCTTCTCTCCTTCGCTATTCCTCACCGAGGTGGTCTCTGCCCCGGTGAGCCGAAGGTCTGCTCCGTCCCTCCATCCGTCCGCATGGTCTCGAACCTGAACAGGTAGTATACCTACTACCTACATATAACTCAAAGAGGGAACGAACAAGCGGAAAAAGGGAGAAGGGCCCTCCAGTGTTCCCTCAGGGGACCCGCGCCTCGCAATACTGTGAGATATATCCTGCAGGTGGTGGAGCCGCTAGGAACAGACGACCACATGCAGCCGGCTCCTACCGTCGACTGAATGTACGAGGCAAATATCAAAGCTATCAATACTCATTAGCACAAACGAAGGAAGACCGACCGACAACGAATGGGGATGGGGGGGCGAAGTCGAGATGGGGGCGGGGGTCCAGCCTTCCTCTCCTCTTCCTCGAGCGAGTGGGTCGGTGAGCTGCCATCCAACAAGCTAGGCAACTCGCCGTGAGGGCATCGGAAGGGAAAGGAGACAAAGGATAGGAGAGGAGAAAAGTATCCTCGCAACAAAACTCTTATCCCGACCGAGTGGGTCTTACAACAACGTCCTCGCGACAGACGCCGGCGTCCAGGCTGCTGTTCCCGGTCGAACCGGAAACATCCTAATCTTAATCCGTAGAGACACTCTCACGCCTATGGTGGCAGGCGACCGTGGTCAGTACAGTCGTCTCCTGTTGCCAAGAGCTTTAATTGGCTTGCTTTCTGGTGCCGCCGCTGGACTTGCACCTCTGTATGGCTTGCAGCCAAGGAGCGGGGAAACGGGGCGAAGACGACCGCTAGTCCAGCAACTTAGCCAGCCGAACGAGAACGCAGAGAGCTGGGAGATAGACCCGTCGGACCCCGAAAGCTTCTGGTCGAGGAGAACGCTAGTCTCTTTACCACGACTGCCGCGCTTCCCGCGAAAAAACAACTCGCTCGGGAAAACGCCGGAGAACGGATAGGGGCGGACCCGCAACTACTCCGAGAAGTCGACTGGTAAGAACATACGAGGGTTTGAATTCACGGAGTCAGAGACCCATTCGGTGGAGAGCCGGAGCACTTTGCTGTGCTCTAATCTCACCATGAGACACCTACCCCACTCCCAGCAGGGTCATGTGCCCCCTCTCCGTAGCTATCGCCATTACTGGAGCCACTACGACGACAACTACTGCTGCCGCAGCTACTTCCACGGCACCGACCGAGTACGCGACCCCGATAGAGACTACAAGAACACTCTGAACTGTCGAGGGTGACTGGGATCATCGGCCCGCCGCCATGGTCCGAGTGAGTATATAATACTATGTAGAGGGTGCTTGCTCGTAAAGGGAGCATGGTGGTGCTGGTAGTGGTGCAGCTGCACTTGTAGTCGTCGTAGTGCTGGCGACGGCAGTGGTGGGGGTATTAGACATAGAAAATTTAATGGACCTGCTCTTTCTTCGTTGCTGCTGCTGCTCCCACCACCACTACTTCTACCACCACCACCTCCCTTCGTTCCCTGCCCCGCCCGAGGAGGGCTCCGCATTTCTTCCGCTGTCTTCTCTCTTTCGGGACGGTCCTCCCGATTTCGGAAGCTCGCCCTGCTCGCTCTTCGGCTTCGGAATACCTTGTCCCTCCGCTCGGGACACCACATGTTCTCCGGGTTGTCGACTTCGTCTCCGTCTACAGCGCGTGGTGGCGTTACGAGAACAAATCCGCGTAGCGAACGGGTGGCGCTGTCGTCGTAATGAACTTTTGAGACGAAAGTGTGAAACGGAACCAGCAGAAGGAAGGAACGGCGCGGCGGTGTCTCCTCCTCATAACTCATCCGAACGATACCTAACATTATCCCGGCAATGAGTCGACTCCGGAGCTCACGTGGTGCCTCGTGGACGAACCACAAGTTTTCTTCACGAAGAGCACCCTGTGCGTTTCCCCCGTCCTCCTGCCACTCTTTCCGACGACATATCGGTCGCCCCAGGCATCCGGACGCAACCAGCTCGGAGTGCTCGCTGAAACCTCTACGATACTCCGAACTACTCTGCGGAAGAAAGCACGTACCTTTTTCTCTGTCATGACGTAGACGTATTTGTGTTCACGATCGAAAAGCATGTCGGGTTGGACGGGTTTTCCCTCATCCAGGGCAATGTCTGCGTATTCGAATGCAGAGTTCACTGACTCGACGACAGCCTGGAAAATGATAGATTATCGTTAGAACACTGCGTGATGTACGACGCTATTTCCAAACTCTATTTCCCGGCCCTGACTCTTCGGCACGACACTCGTGGTGAACTTCAAAGATCCAGAAGTTCTCGACCCCGGCACAGAATGAGCTGTCAGACGAAAATCTCTCACGAGCCGCTCGGTCAAATCGCAGCTAAAAGAAACACATGAGCCCTCTCGGAGCTGTGGAGTGCCGAGGGCGCGCCGTATGTATCCTGCTGCAACTTGTTAAATATTCGACAATGTTCCCTCGACGGCCGTTCGTTGTCGGTGCTGTTGTTTCTGTACTAGTGACCCTATATGGCCTGTTGCTGGTCGGTAATAATTTGCGATGTGCTCATCGTCTTCCTTGGGGACGAGGAGCATGCAAACCGGAGACAGTTCGTCCGCCCCACTCTCCTAACGTGTCGGGTCGAAGCCCTTGCTGGTCACTTCGCCGCGAGCAAGCGGGGCGAACCGAAGAAAGCGAGAACGTGGTCTGAAACCGAGGCCCAAGTTCAACAGAGTCGTCGACAATACTTGTACGGCCACTTGAAAAAATTGAAAAGGAAACAAATGTGTGGGTTCACCGACTCACACACAGTGAGAGGAGGGAAGCGAGTGACGGACCGACAAACCAACCAACCAGCCACAATTTGCATGATCACTTTTCCTCTTCGGGGAATGTGCACTCTCTGAGGGCTTGCAGAAGAAAACTTCTTCCTTCCGGGGAAAAAATCGCTTTCACGAAGAAAATCTTCAGCTGTGCTCGACCTCAACGAAGAAGTGCTTATGGGAAATTCGGGAGGGTCACCCCTTTATACTCCAGTCCTCAACGCACCAGGAAACTAAGGGGAGTGTCCGAGGAATTTCAGACCGGAGCGAGAGCTCCGGGAAATCGCAGCGCGGACGAGGAGATACAGCGCTGGACACGACAGAAGCGTTCGCTCTCAAATGTGAGCTTACAATGTTAGCAATATAAACTTCACGCTCGGCTATTGCTGGCTCGGGCGGTTACGTCGTCCGTCGCAGAATTCGTTTGTTTGTTCGTTCGTTCGTTCATTCGTCTCTTGAATGTGCTTTCTTGTATAAGTCAATTTCAGACCCCAGCGCCGTGCCGTCGTCGTCATGCGTATGCCGACCACTTCATATAAATTCCTAGCCAGTCCCAGCTTCGCACTCGGAACGCTCGTTTCCTCTGTATATCCCACGAACTCCACGCCGGAACCCACAGTCTCGAATAACTCGCGGACACAGTTTCAATTTGGCGCACAGTTTGCCGCAACATCACTCGCAAGCCCCCTCCGCTCCGAGGAGGAGTGGAGCAGTAGACTCCGCGGTTGCCTCATAGTAGTGTTTATTAAAACCGAAAAAAAGGAGGATCTCCGCTCACGTGGTATGAATTGACACAAATCCATGACTGGGCTCCGCATACTCTGCGGCTTCACATGCGTTGGTTCCTCCGGCGGAACCGCAACTTCAACAGAGTCAACCCAGCGACGGCAGTCTTATTGCGATTCCACGCAGCAAAGTCAGCGAGCTCGGAGTCACGGAGCGGAGGAACTCGCGATCAGCCGGAAATGCATCTATCTCACCCCCACGCGCGTTTTTCTTTCTTCCTCAGGAAGCTTGCCACCGAGTCCGTCGGTGCATCCGCCCGCCGGCTCACTCACTCGCGTAGGAGTAAGTGAGCCCACCCGCGGGCTGACTGTCGAGAGAGCCCCCCACAGGACAACTCGGAGCAAAGGAAAAATGTTTCAAAAACGCGAACCGAACACTCCAGACAGGAGTTTCACCCTTGTCGCCTATGTCTGTCAAAGCACGGACATAGTGTACGGCTTGCTGGGTCAGAAAACTATGCCGGGGATTCCTCGCGTAGGCTGAATAGAGCGTCTGAAAAAGTTTCGAATTTCATTCTTCGAAACCACCCTCCGCGAGCTCTAAGTCGACGTACGCGGGTATTCCGGAGAGCGCCCGTACTCCATGTAGTCGAATCTATTTTTCCGCTTTTTCGCAAATTCCTCAGGCCACCACGCCAACGCTACCCAAGAAGAATGACGGATCGCTTCCACCGATGACACGAATTTCAGAACAGCTTGCTTGATCCTTATTCTATTTCATGAGCTGAGATCCGGTGCAGGTGAGAGAGCTCAGAGTCGATTCGGAAGCCAGCATATTCTCCGATTCGGAGGGACCGATCCTGGCCTCGCAAATATCGGGAACAGAGCAGGCCGATGGACGGAGGGAGGTGTGCTCCCTTTTGAGAATGCGAGATTTCAATGAACATTAAAGGAGAACATGGAAACAAGGACGACTTCTGTCTCTCTGGGATCGCTATTCGTTTATGCGGAGGAACGAAATTCAACGGAGCACGTTTTTCCGAATAACAGGACATGTGTTCGTCTGTTTGTGAAGGCGAACGTCGTCTTCGAAGACATAAAACGAATACGAATTACGGGGAAGACACACGAGGAGCATCGATAGACAGCACGGAGGGGGAGCCGTCGCCAACGAGCGGATTCGGAATTCCCAAAATGCAAAAACGAACCGCATCGTCCTTTCCCTAACTCCTCTTCGTCCACATGCCTACGGGACGTTGCGTTGTTCGGTGTTCCCCACTCATGCGTCCCGAATGGAGACAGGAGAAGGAAGGGCCCTCCAATATCGTCGATTCTCATCGTTTGTAGCGTTTTCGAACAGCTCCCTCAGCCCAACTCCATCGAACCTTAATCGCTGATGATTGGAGAAACGGGCTCTGATCGCAATATAATGGCAGCGAATGAGAAATGCGTGACGGACTGTTGTTGCTTTCCCCAGCACTCCCTCCGGCAGGGCGAGTATGTTCGTTCCCCGTGTCTCGAACTCCTATGCGAGAGCAACGGGCCCTACGGGTACCCGACATCCCGGACCAGTCGGTCAGACTCAGGGAGGCAGGCAAGAAAACGGAGGGGAGACGGTAAGCAGAGCGACCAGCGTGCGGATGCCACTGCCACCATGACTTATTGACAGCAAGAACTTTTCCCGGAGACGCAAATTATTCATCGCGGACGGCAGCATCCGAACCGAAAGCCTCAGCAGACCGGCCACCGGCTGTTTTCCCATAGCACGGGGCGAAGCAGTCAGTAGTGAGTAAGCTCCATCGACAAATAGACGAAAGAACCGACTACTTGTCTGTCGGGGGCTTGCTTCGTCTCCCTGCGAAATGAAAGAGCGAGCTCAGCTCCTGCCTTGCCCGTAGGCGGCCATCGTCGCTAATCCCTGCCGGAGGTCGGAGTTCGCGACACCGGAATCGATACGGAAAATTCCCCGGATGGTCGTTCCCGACGATCGACCATCCCGTGAATCATGCGTAGGATCGTTCGAGTATATCCCTCGCGCGGGACGACATTTCGTCGCGCTCAACGGTCCTTGGCCACTCCATCCTGTTTGGGATCGAGCGAGGAATCTGCAGACCCGACTGACTGAGTCAGATAAACTCGATGTGTTCAAGCCTTGCCTTCGTTCTCCGACCGGAGGAGTATGTCGTCTGTATGTATGTATATGAGCATCAAGCGGGTGCGACTGCTTGGCTATTCGTATGTCCAGCCTGCGAGCTGCGAAGGCGATGGAGGTCGCCTCAGTCAGTAGCTGGCTGGTGTATGCTACATACGTGGAAAGTCGATCCAGGCAGAGCCTGTGGCAATCGACTAACATCAAATCAATCCGCTCGTTAGGAGCGCGCGGTCCAGTCCAACCGCTGAGCCAGCTGTTCGAGGTTAATACAATAATACACTCGTTCGCTGTCGGTTCCTCTCTCGGAGCGCGGCCCAGCACACCGCACGAGCTCCAGCAGGGGTTGTATGGCCGCCGCCGCCGCCGCGGTGCCTATGGAAGCGGTGGGCCGCCATAAGATATGGAACGTCATGGCACGGTCCCCCACTTCGGTCGGTCGGTCAGCAGGTCAGGCGGCCGGTTGGTTGGTTGGTCGGTCGGTCGGCTGTCTCGTCGGCCGGTCGGTCTACCTGCTGATCCGGTGACGCCGACCGCTCCTCGGATTGATAAGTGCTCAGATAAGGACAGTCGTTGCACAATTTATAGACTGCCGCTCGATGGTCGCTCGCGCTCACTGGTCGCGTGGCAGGCATGAGCTCTCGCGAAAGTTGCCGGCTCACTGTGTTTGTTTGTTCGTTCGTTCGTCCACCGACTCCAAACAAGTTCAATGCGATTGGGTCGCAGGTCAACTGCAGATTTCCTGGGCCTCTTCCACTCGGAGCCGACTAGGGACGCGCAAGATTAGCTCTCGTCCGAACACATCGCCAGTCGGGCCAGGTAGGCTGCGTGAATGTGGGGACTCAATGGTCCGCTGGTCGAGCGAATACATGATGAAAGTTCTATGAGTGGTGGCGGAGAGGAAGCAAGCAAGGGCTCCGTCCACTAGATCGTAATACGATACGACGACCCACCAGATTGTATCTCCGAGGCTGCTCCCTAACCCGTGGAACAGCGGATTTTACTCGCCATATTCAGCTAGCCTACACGCTCTCGCGCACGGTATAGATATACAAAGATACATATATTTTCCAGGGTGTGCTCGCAGCGAGCGGAGTACAAGCTCATAAATTCTGCCAGGAGCGTTCTCACTCCGAGATTTAATTGAATGCGGGCTCATTAGACGACCAACAAAGAACAATGCTGCGATCGAGCGTGAAATCTTGCGGATTTCGGTTTTTGAAATAATTCCAGGGACCGCGCGTCGGTTTGGACTCCGCGTCGAGCAGAGTCCAGGGGAGACAGAGCAATAGAACTCGAGGCTTCATGGAGGGACCTGAACCTGAGCGTTCGCTGGGAGGACTGAGCTCTCTGGGTCTGTCTTACGTATTCGGGCAGTAACATTCTACTGCTATGCCGAGCGGTGCAACCAATAAAAATAAGCCACACCCCACCCGACCGTACGAGGTAGTATCCATCGAGGAGCTCCGGTGGATGAGGAACAGAAACACGAGAAGAGAGCTTAAACTTTCACAGTTGGCTCTCTTCGCAAGAGCCCGCACGGCAGTTTCGACTCCTCGTCAGACCCTCGAGTCCTCTCCTCCCTCTGACTCTCCCCGTCCCTCACCCCCACCCCCACATGGTCGTTCTCTGACTGCGACTGTCTCCCAAAGACGTCCGGAACGATCTCCCTATGCATCTCATACATTGAGTCATAATTTGATCTGCGACTCATTCGAGTCATGCCTCTAAATAAATTTGTGAATAAAGGAGTGCACGATAATTCAAACAGACTGCTCGGGCGATGTTCCATCGGGCGGGCTGAGCCTCGAGGACCATTCTCCTCGATCGTCATTCCGCAGGCGGCTCCTTTCGGTAGATGGGTCGTCATATTCGAGAATTTGGTCACTCATGGACTCTGCGTTCACTGGAGCCTGAATATCGAGCCGCACAATCGCTCGTTAAGTGTAGCTCTCCCTCCTCCGAACGCCCACTCCCTATGGAAACGCGCGGAGAACTCAGATCCGTCATTGAGGTTCATTCACGAATGTTCTCCTCTAAGCTCGTTCTCCATTGTGCGAGCGGTCAAGTGAGCTTCGGTCAAAACGGACATTGCGTCCAACCGGACTAATTCGAAAATGGCTGGCTCGGCTCCATGGAACGCTATCAGAGATCTCTCGACACGAAAAGAGCATTGACAACTTTGTCAAAGCACGGAATTAACTTTTTTCCTGTCGCGTCTCCTCCCTCCTCGGCTGCGAACTTCATCACGCTGTCGGATCGCCGCCGCTCAGCCGACAAGAACAGAGATATTGCGATAGACCCCGCTTGATAAGAGGCCACATCAAGAAAGCATTGGAGATTCTTTCGGACGTCGCGCCGCCACCTGCTCCCCGAGTGCGCCGCGACCACTTGTGTCGTAGATCAAAAATCGCTCCCCGGCTTTTAGCGATCGACTTGCTCACTCTACGAGAAGAGGGGACGACGATGGTTCCTTCGGACCGGCGGCGCGGCGTTTCCTCCCGAACAATAAATAATGTGCAAAATGATGTGCAAAGATATTCAAAAGAAGCGTCGTCGGGAGTGGCTCGAGTCAATAGGGGTCTGACGGCATACGATCCGGAAGCTTTGATTTACCTCTTGGAGCTTCATCGAGCGATCGTTCGAAGTGTCGGTGAAAAAATGCGAGCCCGGCACGTTGTTCATGGTGTTTGCCACCCGGCTCGTGACGGCAATAGCTCGCTCGCGAAGGCAACTGACGACGATATCGTTCGCTCGACGAGGAAAAATACGAAATAGATGCCAGATCTGGAGTATCACCTGCGTTTCGTGCCTATCGCACAGAAGTCACAGTTGTTGTTCATCTTTGGGGCGGGGTCTTGCCACCGAGCATTTTCCGCCGTCGAATGCTCGTGGAAAACGAGTGGAACAACGGGACGCTCGCAATCGCAAGTGAGATAAGCTAGTCCCATCAACTCTCATGGTGCCGTTACGTTGATGCAGGAGCTCCTTCCAACCGTTAGAGCGGTTCGCATGGGAGTGTGTTGTTTTTCGGCTTGGCATTTAGACGGCAGACCAAGCCGGCGCCATGGCAGAGCCAATCTACTGACTGCGCGCGTGATTTATTCTCCAGCCGCAAGTCCGACAGTGTGAGTCCGCCAGCCGGAGCACACGAAAAATTCGTCAGCAGAAATTCCCCGTTTCGCGCCGGAAGTTGATAATAAGCTGGTTGTGGCCTCTAAATGACTCCCAGCGCTTCGGAAATTAAAGTTGCGGATTTGTTTCTCCCTCAGACATTTAGGCGTCCAATAATCCCATACAGGGTGTCGTGGTTCGTGGTGCGTTTGCGAGCAGAAAAGTTCTTTTACTGCCCAGGAGGAATTTCTCCCGCCCAAGCGAGCAGATGAACGAATGGATATTTAGGGTCTGGCTAGCTGAATAGCCGGCAACGCGTCGTGTGGGGCATTATATGCCAAAAACACTTTTACTACTCGTACGCTTCTTACTTCAATGTCTTTCCCCCCCCCTGCCGCCCCCCGAGACGACACGGGCAAGAGTGCCAAACAAGGGTGGGCGCTATCGGTGTGGGGGAGCTGCTCCCCCTCCCATCTGGTGCCGCAGTGCATGACCTACCGCTGCCGGCAGCAGCAACACCAGCTGCAGAGCTAACGCTCTCCCGAATGCGAACATAAAGCATCTTCTCTCCCTGGGTCCATCAAAAGCTTGCGCATGGTCGACACATGCACAGAGGCAATACGGCACGACTGGCCCGATCAACGGCTGAAAACGTGCCGGGAGGGGGCTGACATCGGGTCGGAATGGGGGCGGGGGATATGAGGCCGGACGGGCTGTCTCGTCGCTAGATTGAAACGTGCCGCGTCTCAAAGGTCCACTCGTTTGACGCAACCCAGTCAGTGTGACTGATCCGCTGGACAACGGCATTTCAAGGCTCCTGTCGAACGTCGGACCGAGGCCCTAAGGGATGTTCCATCTTCGAGCTGGACCATCCACCGTCGCATGATTCCCATCTGGTGGAATGCATCGGGAATTCGGAAAGATTTGTCTCGGCCTTTCCCGCGTCGATCGACCGCGAGGCTCGAGGGGTTCCCGGCGAGCTCGGGCGCAATCGCGGGGGCAAATTCGTGCAACGCTCTTTCAATTGGAGGCGATCACGGAGCAAAACGGCAGTAGCAGCTTAGTCATCGGATCGCACGCCATATTCCGGCCGAGCTTCATGTCTCAGACGCAGCGGAATATTGTACCTTCATGAAGCCGAGGACCCTAGCGTGCTTGTTCGTTTGTGTCAACTGGATTTTTTTTTTCGACCGGCGGCGCGGCCTACGGCCAGTGCCACCATTCGGTCTGATCGAACATTGGTTGCGTGATTCGCTTCAACGCACGACGACGGAATAGTGGAGTGAGTCATCGCTCCGCTGAACTTTCGGCTTCCGCCTCAATCTCGATTGAGCTTCTACATAAAAGCGGCTCCGCCGCCGCTGAGCTCGTCCGCGGACGATCCTCGGATTGAACCCTAGGACTGCGGAAAATGATATTCTCTCTATCCCTCACCTTCTTCAGATGTCCGTCAGCTGTGCCGAGGAAACACACGGTGTAGTCGTGAGTGCTTACAGCACTGACCGAAGTCAGCAGCGTGTTGGGGTAGACCAGTAGGGGGGCAGCGTCTATCGGAACCGCTCCGTCCAATGGAGTGTTGACTTCCATCCCGCAGAAGTCGTCGCTGATCTGCACTTGCTGTAAAGGAACAAGACGGGGAATATTAGCTTCGTGGAGTTGTTTCCGAGACGCGAGCGAACTCCTCGAGGAATCGCTAACTCCGGCGGAGAGCGGAACGGGAAATTCAAATGTCTGCGGCGGGGGCTTTCAATTGTCCCATAGAGAGTTGTTTAGCTGTTGCTCGCCGAGTTCCTCTCCCTTTCCTCGGATGTACCTAGTATGCGACGGCAACGACGTCTCACTAATCTTTCCACGGCAGGCGGCTGAGTGGGAGCCCGGCTGCAGGGGTGTGGGCAGAGGAGGGCAGGCACACGTAACACGAAGGCCCACATGAAGCACCCACATACCATGCAAATCCAGGGCCGACTATCCGCGCCATCCTATGCGGAAGGCAGCCTCCACCCAAGCGAGCCAGGGACAGGTAATCCTCACCGGTTATTAATTGTAGCTGCAGAGACGACCGAGCAGGCAGGCGGGCCGCTTGGTCGTCGACCGACCAGCCAGCCGGCCCTTCATACAGGCAGCCGGCACCATAGGCGCAAACCCGAAAGCGAGCCTCAAACTCGAATACGCTGTCTCCATTCCGCATTACGAAGTCTTGGCGAAAGTCTTCGAATCCCAACGTCATGGACCGCCCGCCACCATCATAGCATTCCCATTCCGATCAATGTGGAGCTCGTCCCTACACACGGCTTTGATCAATGCCCGTTTCATTCGAGTCGGTCGGAGGTTGTAAAACGAGAAACATCGCGTAGTTTCGCGAGGTCATTCGCCCTTGCTTGGCCCTTCTCGACGCATGGACAAACCAGATGAGAGATAATTACGTCTGTGAAAGTTTCGCGGGAACTCGTTGTGATGATACCGGCTCACTCACTCGGATAAATATTTAGTCATAAATATTCGCGTCGGGCACGTAGTTTATTTTCCTTTGTCTCGAGTTAGCGACCGAGAAGTTATTCAAGCGTCTCTTCATAAGACACTACTGACTGGCTGACTGACTCGTGGACGGGCTGACGAACAGATTGTTCCGATGGCGGAATTTCACTCCCCAGTCAACAATGTTGATCTTAGCATTCGAAAGCGATCGGAGCTCGCCTCCTGTTGAAGTTGTACGCATCTCATCCCAATTTGTGAGCCCCCTCCGACGCGAGTGAGACTAAGTAGCCGTTGACTCAAACGACAGCTGCGAGTTCTTCTCCGATTCCCACAACTATATTGTTCTAATCCAGAGTTTCGAAACTCCGACCTCCCGTTCCATAGGCATGACCCGAGTAGGTAAGCGGACCATCGAATTGAATCATTCCAATTCCTCAAATTTGGGGAAATTCGCGATATTTTTTTCCGGACGATGATTTTCCGTCGGAATCAGCCTTTCCCTCGATATTGTTCTCGAATTGTTTTTCCTTCTTCTGCGAGACGCCTCGATGAGACAGGTCGTTCCTCAGCCGCACCGAGCGGAGCCGTCTCGTTACATTTATGTATATGTACATATAAATAACAGCGGGGGCTATCCGACGAGAATTCGGGCGGGCGCGAACGATTAAGATAGTTGGAAACGATTAGAAAATCGGGAGAAGGTGGAGAAGGTATCCGTGTCGAGGTAGGAAGGTAGGCAGGCAAGCCGGCGGGCGGGCAGGCGGATCCTACCTTAACATTAGCATAATCCTCGCAAAGCAGAGCCGCGGACCAACTTTGCTTTTGGATCTCAGCGAGCCATGTCGTTAACGAAGTTTGGTACACGTCACGAGTTTTTGCGATGGAGTCCGCCGATCGATATTAATTCTTCCTTAGACCTCGGAGCTCCGCCGAACTCTTAGAATTTCTCCGAAATGTCCCGATCCGATGCAGAATCGAAACTGTTCTCTATCTGGGAACAATGGAGAGAAAACTGTTTTTTGATCGGAGGCCACAAGCCGCGAACAGGCCAGAGGGCTCAGATAGACGCGTCGGGGGGCAAGCGTAGGGAGCGGAGCAGCAGTCCTACCGCCGCCGGTAGCAGTTGCCCGCGTTGCTGCCGCGAGCTACACCATAAAATTGCATCGTTATCGAGGCAAGATTGAGCCGACGGACCATGATAAGAGCGACAACGTTGGCGATCGCTCCGGAAACAACGTTGCTCGCGACTAAGTCGTTCGATCGCACTCCGCCCGCGTCAGTCGGGAGTGGATCACGAAAACAAGCAAGAGAAGAGCGTACGAGCCGGAAGGGGCGGGGGTGCGGGGCGCTGCTTCGAGGAGGAACTCTCATTACACTGGAATTACAGCCCATCGTATTCCTCCCACTATATGTAGCCCTCTCGCGTAGTACCTCTACGAGGAGGCTATCGATGCCTGCTACAGTAGGTAGTTGTGGCCGGTCAGCCGACTACTCTCTGACATTTCCACCCTACCCCACCTCAAAGCTGCTGTTACTGACTGAGTATAATATTACCACTACCAACTGCGACGACTGGCAGACAGGCAGGCAGGCAGGCAGACAGGCAGGCTAACCAACCGCGCTCTGAGGACGGGGAGGAACAGATAGTTTCTACCGGAGCTCGCTACTAACACTAATGAAGGTTAGCAGGAGGGAGCAGGGTCTTTCGTTGGAGCTAAATTGACTCCTTCGTTCGATGTTCCTTCCTTTCTCTCCCTCGCGAGCTCCAGAGCAGCATCGTCTGCCAGAGGTGCTAGCGGGAGCAGGCGACAGAGGAGACAGACCTATCGGGGGGAAGGGGGGGGAGGCCAAAAACAGAAGGACGAGCGGACAGACAGAGGAATAGAACGCGGGAAGGGTGACGGTAGTGAGCAAACCACGCAAGCGCGACCATGGCCGCCGGTTGTAAAAGCTACCGCTTGCAACTAACCGGCAGCTCCGGGAAAACTTTACGACCTGGAAGCTGCGGATGGATTCGAACACACCGGCTCTCGCGCAGAAGAGCTCATCTCGTCAGTCTGTCAGCCAGCAAGCCAGTTAGTTTGTCTCGTTGCTTCCGCGCTCCTTCCTTATTCTGTCAAACGTTCTCCATCAATTCTCCAATCGGCTCAGTCACACCACCAGCTCCGAGTGGTGGGGTAAGGAGTTCACGGGGAGAAAGGACAAGCCGGGCAAGCTAAAAGAAACCATACGAAAATGATATTTCATCCCGTACAGGAGTTCTCAGCAGGGCATCCCTCATATTTGATAGAGGGAGACAGTCCGCTTGCGCAGCATTGATCCATTCAAATCGGTCGGGAGAGGATCGGACTCGGCCGCGATGAAATGAAAATAAAGTCAAAGAGAAGATGGATTGGGTCCCGAATCCGATTCGTCCGGGAGCACTTGCCGACCGAGAACAAAGACGGTACCTACTTGCTCGAAGCAGAATACATATTCTACGTCCGTCGAGCGAACGCCAAACGAGCGTTCGCTACCGCGTTCGAATCGTCTGTAAGTTTACTTCGTCGAGCTGTGCAATTTATTATTATCGGTCGATGCTCCTGCTCCGGTCGGCCCTGCGCGGGAGCGGATACGAAATTCGAAGGTCGAGGCTTCGGTAACAACGCAGCCTAATTAGACAGTAAGCAAGTTCGAGAGCAGCGCTGTACAATATCAGCTGCTACTGCCGCAGGAACGACCTCAGCAACACACTCGACGCAGATGATGAGCGATTTTCATCTAGGTGTGCGGAGCTTCCCCGAGCTCATCATGCGACCCGCGGTCGGGTCTCCAAGGCAAACCAGATGAGTACATAGAAGAGTGAAAACTGAGCATCCTTGTTGCGCCATCGAGCTTGCTGACGGCTGATGGCTCACTCAGTCAGTCACTCAATCAATCAGTCAGTCAGTACTCAGTGAACCCGCCCGTCCATCGAGCAGTCTACGCAGACGAACGAACGGTTAGATCGACCGGCCGATGCAAGCAGCGAGCAAGCCAAGTTGGGTAAATAGAGTCCGCGCTGAAGGCAACACAGCTTGTTTGTCTACGATATTAACTCCCGCTTGTGCACCGGACTAATTACGAGCCACGGTCGGTCCTCTGACGACGTCGACGGTGGCCGCTTCTGTCTGGCGTTCGCTCGAACAGTAGCGTCCAAGCCAGCAGCAGCAGCAGCTGCCAAGGCAAGAGCGTCAGCTGCCCATCCTTGATCCTGAGGAGGGCTTCGATGACAACACCTCCCTCTCTCCATCAAATCAACACGGATAATCTCATCATTGGAAGCTCGTTCGAGGACAAAAGCTGCGTCTTCTGAGCTGAGCAATCGTACTTTGTTCGCAGCTCGTACTCTACCATTCCAAAACACTCTCATAGGGAGCTTCGTCTAATTGAAAGTGGGGTTCCTCTTTTGTTCCTCTGATCAAGGGATCAGGGGAGCGGAGTTTGGGCCCTCGCGACGCTCTAGGACTACCAGGAATTCTTGCCTATTTCTCCCCATTGCCCCGCACCCCCTTTTCCGCTCGTTGTTCGTACGCTAACGTGCTCCCTATTAAACACAGCGTAATCGTATTAGAGGAGCTATTTTTTGTCGAGTCTAGTCCCAGCGGTGGACGAAAAAGCTGCTGACTCAGTGAGTGTCGTTCGCTCGCTCGTTCTGCGGCTCACCAGGTTCGTCGTGTAGTCCCCATTTTGCTTCACCTCACTCGGGACGAATATAACGACGACGGCTTCGAGCCGCGGCCACCTCGACGACGGGCAGGATGACTCGGCGGGCAGCGATCGCACCCTCTTCCCCGGCCAAGTTCTTTTTCTTTCTCATCGTGTATCCGAAATTGCGGTGGTGGCGCCAGCATTGAACCCCTTCGTCGGTTCCTACGATCGTCGTGTCACTATTACCAATCGTGCCACAGATAATGCACGCCACCTCGACGAGATGGCGTGCCTTCATCCTCCGGTCAATCAGTCAGAAAGGAACAAATCCTTCGCATCGTCGGTTGGTGCTCGAAGATTACGAACCAGAGATATCATAACACGGCTGGTGCATAATTCTACCAGCCGGAATCGCTGACGAGATTTTCCCCGAGTCACGTAATGTTCGCAGAAAAGCATTCACTGGTCGCCGC